TATATATTTATATTTATATTTATATAATAAAACATAGTAAATATGTTTTAAAATCCTAAAATAAATAAACAGCTTTTATTGTATGTAATGTGTTCAATATAGTTTAAAAATGTAAGTGATTTTATACAAAAAAATTTTTTATAATTTATTTATTTTGGTAAATGTAACATATATAAATATATAATGTTTTTATACATTTAATTTGAAAAATTCAATATAATTTTAATTGTATTTGTATTTGAAATAATTATTTAATTATATTATAAATGATGAAATTATAATTGTATTTTCAAACTTGTCTGAAAGTCTCCATGTTTTGCAGGTGCATGTTCGGCCATGCGTCTGTATGAACGGAGGGTCGTGTGTGACCAACATCAGGTTTCCAGCGGGCAGTGGCGAGTACCTCTGCATATGCCCATCTGGTTTCCATGGCGACCACTGCCAGGACAGGCTGAACGAGTGTGACTCGAGCCCATGTGGAGCAGGAGTGTGCGAGGATCTGACAGACGGCTTCCAGTGCCACTGTCCTGCTGGACTCACAGGTGCTTCTCCTGCACTCACACAAGCTTTAAAATCCGTGTAAAATTAAAGCTGCAAAATAAAGAATTGATGCCAAGTGGTTGTACTATATGTTGCAATCCAAATTCAAAATACTGGAGAGTGTTTGGTCACACTTTATTTTGAAGGTCCGTTTGTTGATTTTAAGTTGCATTGCGTCTACATGCCAACTAATTGTCATTAGATTATAAGTAGACTGTTAGGCTTAGGGTTAGTGTAAGTTGACATGTACTTGCAAAGTTTCTTAAAGTCAGTTGAAGGAGCAGTATCAGCAGATATTAAGCAGACAGTAATACTCAAATGGACCATCAACATAAAGTGTTATCGAGTTTTTTTTTTCACCTGGCTCCTTCTTAGATCACTCAAAACACACACACACACACACACACACACACGCAGGTTGCCAGATTGACGACTCAAACATTGATAAGTATGCCTGACGACCAAAGCTTACACTTAAAGCTGATAAGCGGATGTTTATGTTTGTAATATTTGTAATTTATCGCACATTAAAAAACACTTTATGAATCTGCGAGTCACTTTGGAGGCTGCTACGGTCCTCCGGAGGTCACATTTTGGGCCTCACCAATGCATTGAGGAAGCCTCCATGACTGATGCTGTGTTTTCACCCAGGGCACACTGAAGTGCAGAAATATATTTGGGTAAACTGGCAGTGGGCTGGTTATAGAGACCAAAAAAGGACAAACATTCGAACATGTAACTCAGATTTTCAAAGCAAAATAGCTGACTTTAACATTGTTTTTCAGATAAACAAATATGTTTACTTGGCATATTTCTTAAATAACTGCAAACATATTATGGTATTGGTATGGTTTAGACCAGTGGTTCCCAATCTTTTTTGCCTGAGACCCCCTTTTCCCCCGGAAAATATTGTGAAGCCCCTCCACATTTAGTGATATTACCGCTCATATAAGTTTGCAGTAATGATGACAAAAAATGTAGTTTTCAAACAAACAGTTTGTTTATCACTATATCTAGATATGTTTATGCACAAATAATAGCCTTATGTAAAATATAAAGCAAAACATCAGTAGGCCATATGTAACTGAAAAACATAAGCCTTTGGACTTTAAATTGGCACAATCTGAAATTCAGTAACAAAGATATCAGTATTCACACTGGTGTATAAGGGCAAAAAAAGAATACAGGCTATTACAATTTAATATGCACATGTTATTTATTATGCTCTATCAAATAGTGTGAAGACTGCTGCCAGGTGAATCAGTGAGTCTTTTTTGTGCAGGACGGATTATAGATTTGTTAGTTTTTGGTCAGCTAGTGTCAAGCTGAAAAAACATTACTGTTGTCTGATACAAGTTTTATTCATGGAGAAAAGTACGAAGCATGGCAGTGCTAGTGTGTTCTGTGTTTGTCTGAGAAAACTAATCTTACCGAAATGTGAATATTTCATACAAGCTGAAGCTGATCGGTCAATTCTTTGCAGCCTGGGGTTCATTGGTACGAGCGCATCACGCCGCTTGTGCATACAAACCGCTCACCTCCATTGGAAACAACAACAAACTTGTGCAAACTCTAGAAATTAGCGATATGCGAACAGCCCCTAAAAGGCCGACAAATGGGTTGCGGATCCATTCCTTGGCAGTTCCTTCACTTGGCCTTTTACCCTTGGCAACGATACTTTCCAAAGACATCTGTTTCTTACTCATTTTGCTGCTTTTGGGTTAAATTTGGTTAAATTTAAATTATGAAAAACAAAGAGTAAATAAAATTAGCCAACAAAATATTGGAAGAAAAAGAGTGGTATTTTCTGCTCTGAAGTGCTGGGGGTGTGTCTGCTGGGGGGATGTGTTCACTGGGAAAGCTGTCAAATGTTTAAAAATTGTAACTGCCTGATTGGATCTTCCATCCAGCTTTATTGGAATTATATTATTATTATAATATAGAAGATTTGTTTCTTCTCACAATGTTGCACTGATATATTCACTCACCGGACACTTTATTAGGTACATCTTACTAGTACCGGGTTGGACCCCCTTTTGCCTTCAGAACTGCCTTAATCTTTCATGGCATAGATTCAACAAAATACTGGAAATAGTCCTCAGAACTCAGGTAGGCTCTAGCTTTGACACAATGCTCAATTGGTACTAATGGGCCCAAAGTGTGTCAAGAAAATATCCCCACACCATTACATCACCACTACCAGCCTGAACCATTGATGCAAGGCAGGGTGGATCCATGCTTTAATTCTGTTGACGGCAAATTCTGACCCAACCATTCGAATGTCGCAGCAGAAATCAAGACTCATCACACCAGGCAACGGTTTTCCGATCTTTTATTGTCCAATTTAGGTAAATTTGTGGAAATTGTAGCCTCAGTTTCATGTTCTTAGCTGACAGGAGTGGCACCTGGTGTGTTCTTCTGCTGCTGTAGCCCATCTGCCTCAAGGTTGGATGTGTTGTGTGTTCAGAGATGCTCTTCTCAATTGTAACAAGTGGTTATTTGAGCTACTGTTGCCTTTCTATCAGCTCGAACTAGTCTGGCCGTTCTCCTCTAACCTCTGGCATCAACAAGGTATTTGCGGCCACAGAACTGCCACTCACTGGATGTTTTCTCTTTTTTGGACCATTCTCTGTAAACCCTGGAGATGGTTGTTCGTGAAAATCCAAGTAGATCCGCAGTTTCTGAAATACTCAGACCAGCCCTTCTGGCACCAACAACCATGCCATTTTCAAAGTCATTTAAATCACCTTTCATCCCCATTCTGATGCTCGGTTTGAACTGCAGCAGATCAGGTCTTGACCATGATGCCTAAATGTATTGAGTTGCTGCCATGTGAAGGGCTATTTAGGTATTTGTGTTATTGAACAGTTGGACAAGTGTACCTAATAAAGTGGCCGGTTAGTGTATATACATAATCCTTAAATCAGTATTTTTGTGTTTATCAATTTGTGCATTTTTCTTATGTATTAATCATAAAGCTGCTCTTCCAAATAATCTTAACATAAACTCTTGACTCAGTTCCAGTCGTGCTCCCATTACAATATCATATCTTGCCAAAACGCGAGCCCCAGTTGTGACCAGGAAAATCAGCTCATTTAGCTTCTCCAAGCTTGAAAGCAGCGGTGAATATGTGGGTGAGAAAAAAAGCCTGCAAAGCCAGAGAAATTCAAACAAACACTAAACTGTTTACGTTTTCTGCACAGCATCTATTTTGAGATCTGAAGTCGAAAAACTCTCGATGTGTGAATTAGCCTGAATACAATGTCTGTTGTTGCTTGAAGTTGAAATGTGAAGCTTTCCTGTCGGGAGCGACGCTTTTTTTTTTACCTTTTGTGTGTTTTGTTGTGGCTCATTTGGCTTTGGGCCTTTGCAGATGGTTCGGACATTATTAAAGATCCCTTTCAAAGAATCCACAAAAAAACACAAACACAAATAAAATAAAAAAATGGACCAATGCCCAGCAGCGACTGAAGCCACAGAGAGGAGAAAGGATTTTGTGTTTTTCTGCTGCTGGGACTAGTAAACAGGCCAAAACACAGTGATGAATAGCTCCAGAAATGTTTTATCTGCGCTGAAAGCAGTGTGGTCACTTGATGTTTTAGCAGAGGAAAGAAGTGGAGGAAATTATTACCATTGTCTAAAAACAATGCCTCGCTTTTGTTTTTGTGTTTTGTGTCAGACTATTTAAATTTCAGATACGCTGCTTATGAGTTGCATGAGAAGTGTTTGCTATGCTAAGCTGAACCTTTAATTTAGTTTTAGTTTTGTTTTATTTTTATAATTGTAATATTGACTACAATATTGACATGCTATTAACTTTACAGACAAAGGCAAAAACAGAAATTCCCAGTTTGTAACACTCGTCTTTAAATCAACAGGATACACAAGAAAAAAGTAAAAGATATGGTTCAATTCTCTAGTTTCTGTATTCAAATTTTATCATGGATTGAGAGATAGTTTATGTAATAGAACCACAAATGTCTCAGAACAAGTCCTAACAATGAAACAAAAACACAAACAACATTTATACAATAATATAATACAAAAATGGTGAGTGAGGGTGTGTGTGTATGTATGTATTTATATGTGCAAAGTCCAAAGTCCGTGGATGAGAGTATATGCAATATGGATTGTTCTCACCAGAAAGGTTTGAGTCCAGATAATTGTATCATCTTAAGTTGCAAGTGTCCTCTTAGTAGGGATGGCTGACGTGAAACTGACGTTTCGACACAGTGTCGAGATCCCGAAGCGCAAGTGTTTCGAAACACTGCACCGAAGCATGATCCGAAACACCCAGGTCACGTGACTAAAGTGTTTCGAAACACTTGGTCACGTGACAAAAGCGATTCAAAGCATCGATCATTTCAGAGGCGTTTCAAGACCCGGAGAATCTGCATTTGACTTGCATGATCTGATTAAAATCTCTGTCTAGTATGGCCTAGTGGACCGTGCGTGTGCACTATGGTACTGTATGCCATATTTGTTTTGGGTTCGAATCTCGACTAGTACAAATACTCCAAAGTCATGATTTTATGTATTTTAATCATGTTACTGTTTTATGGTGTAGCCTAGATAGGATACATCTGTGGATATGCCATCAATTTAGCATCATTTTTGTAACATTGTAAAACAATAATTCATAGTTTTACAGTACTGTGATGGGTTTAGGTTTTGGATAGACGTTAATAAAATACAATGGGAAATTTAATTAATAATATAAATATGTATTGTTAACTTCTGGCCACAACTGTATCTGATCTAGTAACAACCCTGTTTTATGAACAAAACAATACAAATTTATTTACAAGGTGTTTATTCGGATGTCAGAGCAATATTGAAACAAAACAATACAATAACAAAGCATTACCAACTGGTAATAAAGCATTTCAAAACAATTGTTTCAGACTGGATTCGAACCCATTATTCCCGCATGGTGGTCACAAACTCTAACCGCTTGACTAAACCATTTGATGACTCAGACTACAAAGTGGGGTTTGATACCTCAATTTGCTCAACTGTTCTTCGCTGAAGCTGTTTCAGTGAAATACAAATACAATGACCACTAGGTGTCACCGTAGAGTGGTGTTTCGAAACATTTCGAAGCTTCGACACATTTGCTTCGTTAGTTTCAGTGTTTCACGAAGCCTCGCTTTGCCCACCACTACCTCTTAGGATAGTCTTTACTTTAAACCTGAAAGACTAACAAGTCCAAAAAGGGCAAAAAAAATCCACAAAAACGATTGTCCTTCGCACACGAAAACAAGAAAAAAGGTAGACCTTGGCAAACTCTTACTCCATGTGCTCCTCAGAATTCTTCAGATGACACTGTGTGTAATGTCCAGGTGCCCTCTATCTCCCCCTTGTGGTGAGTATGTTATGCGAATGTGTATATATAAAAAAAAAGATCAACAGAACAGGAAATAGAACACCAATACATTCACCTCACCTCATCCCTTCAAAATAAAGAATCTAAAATAAAAGTCCATTACTCATTTGTATATTCGAAACTTTAAGAACTGTGAGTATGCTTTACTGCCAGGCCCATTCACACATTTAATGAACATAACAGAAAGCATACCCCAATTATGTGGCAGCGCTACAAGTTGATACATTACACTGATTTTTAAGACTCTTTAATTATGACAAATTCTGAATAACTTGTATACAACCTTCATTTTGAGGGGGAAAAGGTCACAAATGCAATATATAAACTCAGAATAGGAAAGAAAAAAAGTCAATATAATGACGACTTAATTAATTATATATTTTAAATTGCTTGTTTACACGCTTAGTCCTAATCACTATGAATGCGCTTTTTAGTTTTGAAAATGGGAGAAACATTGTACTTTTTGTTGACTTTAAAAAAGAGCTGTGTACTAAGCTTTTTTGTGGCTAGGCAACCATTGTATTAAATGGTCTTTGTGCTGGAGTGCATGACATCAGGAGCTTTATCTATATCAACTGCAGCTGCTCAAAGCGTTTCATCAAAAACTTGATCCACAGCAGTTGGTTAGAATTCAAAGCACATAAACAGCACACAAATTGTCCACTGTCAATAGAAAACCATTTTAAAAAGGTGCCTTTCTATCCCAGCAGGCACAGGACGTCAACATAATGTTGTATCCCAATGACGTGGGACGTTGCATTTTGGTTACTTTCCAACGCAACCTAAAAAACAAATTATCAACGTCTAATGATATTACAGCTTGACATTGTGTGAACGTTACCAATATAATGTCTATCAGACCTCGGATTTTGGTTGCCATACCTGACGAATAAATGTCTGTATTTGACATCAATATGATGCCAAGATTTTGGCTCGACGTTGGATTTTGGTTACTTTCCAACACAACCTAAAATCAACAAAATATTAACGTCATTTCACGTCATTATTGGACATCAAAATAACATTGTACTTAGACGCCGGCAACCTAAATCTTACCTAATATTATTATTTTTTATGATGTTGTGTGTCTGCTGGGATGGGATTGAGGCCTATCTTTATATTACTTGCAGTTTTGACTTCTTTTTCTCTCTCTAAATTGTATACGAGTCAGTATCATTTGTTGCTGCAATATGTAGTATTGCAAATAAAAAGCGAGTTTAGTGTGTGTTTTTATAGGCAAGATTCAGTCATTTGAATTATAGAATTCCGTTCACATATCTCATGTGGGTTTATGTGTGTTACATTAGTGAGTTTCGCTTAAGTTTCATACAGTATTAACACCTTACTTAGTGTTTTATTTACTTTTAATTGACTCTGTTTTGAATGAATCAGTTGAATAAATCACTCACTTTGTTATCAATTTAGCCTGGAGAACAACTAAACTCTCAGCACAAACTCAAACAGTACTGCTGCTACAATTACTGATAACAATAATAATGTACTGTAGGCTTTTATAAATAACAGAAGGGATTTGTTATCTGTCCGCAGGTGTCACATGTCGGGATGATGTGAATGAGTGTGAGCGAAGGCCATGTTTCCCTGGTGTCAGGTGTGTGAACGTGTTCGGCTCCTTCAGCTGCAGCTCCTGTCCTCGGGGCCTGGAGGGAAATGGGATCTCCTGCAAAGGTAACATCCAACCTAAACTACATCTACTTTTAAAATAATAATAATAATAGTAGGCGAGGCAGTGGCGCAGTAGGTAGTGCTGTCGGCTCACAGCAAGAAGGTCGCTGGTTCAAACCCTGGCTCAGTTGGCGTTTCTGTGTGGAGTTTGCATGTTCTCCCTGCCTTCGCGTGGGTTTCCTCCGGGTGCTCCGGTTTCCCCTACAGTCCAAAGACATGCGGTACAGGTGAATTGGGTTGCTTAATTGTCCATAGTGTATGAGTGTGTGTGTGTGAATGTGTGTGTGGATGTTTCCCAGAGATGGGTTGCGGCTGGAAGGGCATCCGCTGAGTAAAAACTTGCTGGATAAGTTTATGGTTCATTCCGTTGTAGCGACCCCATATTAATGAAGGGACTAAGCTGACAAGAAAATGAATGAATGAATGAATAATAATAATAAATTAAAATTTAAAAGGATTTTGCAAGAATAAGTTAAACTGTCCTTAAAACAATATGACCACAGGTGTTTTGTGCATACAAAAAGTGTTAAACTGTTTTTTTTTTTCTTGCTTAACGTTCACCCACAAATGCCAAAGTAGCACAATTTTGCAGTTATTCAGACAACATACCTTAGCGTTACAGGGCTTTTCATTTCAAAGCATAAGATTTTCAGTATGAGCTCATCACTGTATAACACTTGTAATGTGATAGGACGCTGTGCAACGAAGTGCAGATCCAAATACAGGTTTATTGAGAATGGTCAAGCAAGCAACATTTACAATAAGGAGCAAATATATGAAGGCAATATAGAGTCGTAGTCAAAAACACAGGCGATATTCAACTATTTTAACTATTTAGAATTTTTGTATTTAGTGTTAATATTTATAGTTTTAAGTAAAACATTTTTAAGTACTCATGATAATTTTTTTTTTATAAAATTACTAAAAGTTTCAATTACCAGACATATTTATATTAATACTAATATTAATAAACAAAACCAACACAGTGATTTTATTCTATTCAAGAATATGAGATGGTATCTCCTGCAAAGGTAACATCCCTACATTTAATCATAATCTACATCTACATAAAAAAATAAAAATAAATGAAAAAATAAAAAAAGATTTAGATTTAGTTTTTGAATAAAACAACTTTTTATAACTAATGATGACATTTTTTGCCATATTTATATTCATTTTTAGAGAACCCAAAACCAACACAGAAATTTTATTTTATTAAAAAATATGTATGAAATATTTAAGATAATTCATTTATATAAAAGTACTTAATTTGTAGATACAATAGATGCACCTTTTGCGATGAAGTTTTACTTTTAAACTAAAATAAATTTCATTATAAAATGTTTTACAAAAGATAAATGAAAAAGATAAATAAATCTTTGTTATTATATTCAAATGAAATATTAGAAATAAACATTTTTAAAATAACAAATATTAGTATGCATGTAACACGTACAAATTTTAGAAGAAAAGTTTGATTTTTATTCACAATAACAAGTATTCACATAACAAGTACTTCTTTACATTTTTAAAGAATCAGACTGTTTATTGTTAATAAAATGCTTGTCATATCATACAAATATGACCTTTCTCAAGCCACTTTAAAATAGTTGTCATTCTGAGTCTCAGTGATCGGTTGTTTCTGTTTTTGGAAACGCTGTATTTGCCCTGCTGCTCAGGAGGCTTCTCACAGCTGTTTTCCATCTTCCACCGCACGCCTTGACAAAACGCTCTGCGAATGTCTTTTGACTGTAATCTGCAAGCGATAAACCCTCATTCACAGGCGCCCTGTGTTCACGGTTTCTCCCCCCATCCGAGGGACACAGATTTGATGGCTTCTTCATCCAAGCCCGGGCCACTATTACAAACACAATCTGTCTGATTGCAGCATGCAGAAATACAACAGAGCTGGATCTGCCGTCCCGCTTTGATTATGACCAGCAGAACCATGGGAGGGAGAGCAATACAATCCAGATGGCACTAGATAGTTATCCACCTCGTGCACACGCAGACAACTATGCCAGACTCTGCTCTTGTCCTGAGATAATTGGTAAAACAGCTCCTTGCAGTTTCCACGTGGAGAGAAAAAGAGTGCAGAACTTCTCAGGTCTCAGGTGTGCAGCTTTTCTGACAAGGCGAAAAGACCGAACATTTCAGAGTGAGAGAAATTGTTAGGTAGATGTTGCGCGAAGCCAAAAATGGCACAAAATGTTTGCCTAATGCAAGACAGCAGTCCTAAAAATAGAAACAAAGTGGCAAAGGGGGTTATCGATCGTACAGATTTTCACTTTGCTGCACTTTTCCAGCTAAAACTCAAATCACAAAACTAATAATCATCAGATAGCGTGTTGTTCAGAATTTATTGTATGTATATTGAACTGTGATTTTTAAAATTTGATGTGTTTTTAAAACAGAGCATGTTTGTTATAAAGACAGTAAAATTGCTGTCATTCTTAACATTTCTATAATAACCACGACCGCATGGTCAGTAAACGCACATATATATGTCTGTGTGGGTGTACTGCAAACAGCATTTTTGTTAGACTCATCATTTCAGAAAGGCTTGAATAAACGCCACCGCAAATATATGAAATAAACTTATAAAATAAACTTGGTATGCTTGACTAATGAGTTGTATTTCAGCTTCATCCAAGTTTGTCTCTGTCATTGTGCTGTTTATCTGATGTAACGCATGATAAGAAGCAGACGATGGAAACGGTGGATGGGGAGAAGCAGCTTATTTTCATTTAAAGCCACAGACTACAAAAACAGCTACAGTATACTCAGACACCAAAATGGATTCTTGAGGCTATAATAATTATCTGATGAGTATTTTTAGCTGAAACTTTACAGACACATTTTAGAGACCAAATGCTTATCTCACATCTTGTAAAATGGGTAAAATAGGTCCCTTTGAAAATAACCAAAATTTAAAATTTGCTCACAATTTCCTCTTCCTTGAGTGGTTTTAAGCCATTTTAACACAAAAAAAAAAATGTTAGAAACATGAAACTATAGTAGGGCAAAAAACAAATACTATGGAAGTCAGTGGTTAAAAATACTATTTGTAAGTAATTGTCAGCATTTTTTCAGAATATCTGCTTTTGTGTTCAGCAGAAAAAAGTGAATGAATGATTGATTGATTGATTGATTGATTGATTGATTGGTTGGTTGGTTGGCTGGTTGGTTGATTGATTGATTGATTGATTGATTGATTGATTGATTGATTGATTGATTGATTGATTGATTGATTGATTGATTGATTGATTGATTGATTGATTGATTGATTGATTGATTGATTGATTGAACGAACGATGACCAGATTTTCAGTTTTAGGTGAACTATCTATGCCATGCAAAAGAAGACAAACAACAGCCAACATAAAAGAACATCAAATTGGTCTTTTATTTGTTCTGTTTTTACTTAAGGCAACAAAACAAATGTGGTGATGACATTAAAAATCTTTGAGCTGAAAGATTTCTTTAATTAGAACATTTTCGAATTTACATATAACAAGAATGTATGTGAGTTGTCTATTGCTTTATTTGATTTGGAAAAGCAGTACATGTACAATTAGTAAGAAAAATTCTAATAAAGGGGGCAGCACGTTAGCTCAGTGATTTTGCATGTTCTCCTCATGTTCCCATGAGTGCTCTGATTTCCCCCACTATCCAAAGACATGTACTATAGATCAGTGGTTCTCAAACTGTGCTACGTGTACCACTAGTGGTAAGTGGGCTGCCTTCTAGTGGTACGCAGAATAATCCAATATGTCGTATGTACATGCAACATATATTTCAAAACTTATCAAAAATGGTTTATATATGAATATGATGAAATATAGCCTATATTTATAAGGGCCAAGCAACATTTCCGTTTTGATGAACATGTCATGATACTACAGATTAACACTTTAGATTTAAGTACAGCAGTTTTTTTTTTACTTTTTAAGAACAGTAACCTACCATTTTTTACTTTTACAAGCTCATTTTAATTTAAACGTTGACATTTTATTTAGTTTGTTTGTTTGTTTTTTCACATATAAGCACAGAACAGTGTTAATGTTTAAACTATTTATAATGTTTAAAGTGGCTGATAAATTAAATACTCCTAATAATAGTTGTTAATCTGCCTGGTTTTTAAACTGTGCAGAGCTGTAGCTGCTTTGCTGGGCTTACTACGCTATTGTATTTCAATACTGGTCATTATGGTGGTACTTGGAGGCATAGTTTTTTCTGAGGTGGTACTCGATGAAAAAAAGTTTGAGAACCACTGCTATAGATGAAAATTGGCCTTAGTGTATATATGTATGAATGCAAGAGTGTATGGGTGTTTGTCAGGGGTGAGTTGCAGCTGGGCATTTGTTGCTTAAAACATATACTGCAATAGTTGGCGGATCATTCTGCTGTGGGGACCTCTGATAAATAAATGACTAAGCTGAAAGAAAATCAATGAATAAAATCAATTCAAGCCAATTGGCTCAGGGTTAAATCCTACTCAGAGCAGAATGAATTCACCTGGAGGGGCTACATTGGTGCCATGACCCAGATGGGAGTGAAGTTTGGGGGGGTGGGTGTTATGGGAGCCAGGCTGCAGGAGTTGCAGTTCCCTCAAAAATGAAAATTTTGTCAATAAATACTCACCCTTCAAAATCTCTGTTCAGCTTCCAGGCACAGATTAAGATATTTTGGAAGAAATCTGAGAGCTCCATTATCCTCCATAGACTGCAATGGTTCTGACATGTTCAAAGTCCAGATAGTTACCAAAAAACATTGTCAAAACAGTCAATGTGTCTTCAGTGATTCAGTCGTATATTATAAAGCTACATGAATACTTTTGTGCACACTTAAAACAAAAATAATTATTTTATTCAACACTTTCTTCTCCTCTGTGTCAGTATAGGCCGCACATTTTAGTCTGGCCTAAAGAGATATGTTAAAGACTGACACAAGAGCCTAGGGTCTTTATAATCCTGGACCAGGCTGTATCCTGAGCAGATGCTGTGGCAATCATTGAGGAGCGGAGAGCATGAGACTGATTTCTAAAAGACCCCAGTGACAGACGAATCTCCGCATTGATTATGTGGGCTATCCTGAACACCCGCTGGGGACCTACTCACACCTACAGCTTCTCCACCTTGGTTGTCCTGTGTTCTCTAACCTCCGGCCCCTAGACTGCAGCTCTGCACAAGAAATTTGGCCAGAGGAGAAATGGCTGTGGGACTTGTGGAGCTGCTCATCGATGGATTTGCTTTTCAGTGTTTGGACTTTCAGCAGTGAAATTTAAACCACACTGAACTGAACTAAACCGAACTTTAACTCTGAAAACTGAACTGCAGCAGTTTCAATTTACTAGAACTTGTATGTTAAGCTGCTTAGACACAATCTACATTGTAAAAGCATTATAGAAATAAGGATAAATTGAATTGAATTGAATTGAATTGAATCCTAAGTGTGCTTAGAAGCATGCCCACCTCATATACTAGAGATGGTAATTTAAAATAGCTTAAAAGGGGGATTAGAACAAGAGGGGTATGATAAAGCTAGTTGCAAGTTGGACCGGAGAAATTACATATGTACATAAAACAAAATGCAACCATATATGTGATGGATCCTTCAGAAATATGTTTTAATTGTCAGCAGTTTACAAGATTAAGGATTAAAGGGGGGGACAAGTCTTACCCTACTCTATTCTGTCTTTTACTTTGCACTTCTGACTTCTGTAACAAAGAGTGTAGAGCTCATTTTAAGTCATTTCTTTTTCTCTATTTTTCATCAGCACCAACAAGATTGGTCACGTCTCGTCCCATCACCCCTCATGCTGTCTCCCCATCAACACCTCCCGTGGTGCGGCCCATCAGCAAAATGACCGTGCTTCTTCCTAAAACGACCTCCACTCACCTCTTGACGGAATCCAGCAAAGCTCCAAGCAAGACCCCGGACAGCAAAGCCACCACCAGCCTGAGTCAGAGGACTGGCAAGTAGTTGTTTCCATTGTTCTGTCTCTCCATGTCCACAGATGGCCAGGAAACAAAACCGTGAGGGTTTCGTTTGGAGCCAAATCGCCCACTGTTGGTGTCATGACATTGCAGAAAACGCTTCTTTGTCTTTCCCTGGCGCAGTGTGATGTCCCTTCAATCCCCCTAGAGTCATTTCCTGCACATTTTTTTGTGTGTGTATGTGATGTTCCCAGGAAATGACTTTCCTCCAGCTGCTAAGCACAAAGCAAGACAAGGCCTGCTGGCGTGCCTTTGTGCTCGCACCTCTTACCCTTTCGTCTTGGTATAATGCCTGAAATTAGTGATTCTAATTAGCCATGCAGGGCATTCACGCTCTCTATGAGACTCAACAGAGCAAGGTTAGGGAAAGGACGTCTCTCACTCTCTATTTAGAAGAGTAATAGTCAAGAGACACACAGTCAGTTATCAGGCATTGCAAGTGTCATTCTGTAGGGAAGTGTTATCACAAATGTATAATGCATATAATACTGTATATTTCTAATGTAGAAAAACAAATATGAGCATGTTTTTATATAATATAATATGTCGAAAAATGTTTTTGAGAATGAGTTTGGGAAGAGATCTCAACCAGTATTATCAAGACAAGTCTGGACTTAAAAATATTTGAACAAGGAGAAGCTATTCAAAGTTCCTATACGTATTGAAGAAGGAGGTACCTACCTACCTACCTGTTTGCTTCACAGGAACTAAGAATGCTTTTAGTTATGCGATTGATTTTGGGAAGACTATATTAGTGCCTAATTCAAAATAGGTGCTCAGCAAAGTTGATCTGCCCAACACATGCCACATAGAGTACTATTGTTATCAGTTCATTAACCTTTACAGACCCATGGGGCATGCCTAGCATAGTCGTGCATTTATACTTCTGCTTGCTGTTTGTGTTGCTCTCCAATAACACTTCCGAAATGCTAGCTTGCAGTAGGTTATGTTATGTTTCTCTGTGTCGTTACTTTGCGGGTGTTTTGTTTTTTCTGAATGATAACTAATGGCCCGTTTCCACTGACTAGTATGGAATGATACGGTTCGGTTCCTGAAAAGGAACCCTTTTCAGAAGGGTACCTAGTGCGACAAAAGGGTGCCAAGATGCGAAGCTAGATGCGCAACTGCACGCTATTGGTTTACAGAGAAACATCCCCAGCACATAAACAAGCAGGAGAATATACATATACAATATACATATACATATAATATACATATAATAACGAGCCATGGTGAACCCGAGCTTAAACAAACCTTTGTCATCCTTGTCACCCTGTACACCATAGTTGTTTACAAGACCGTCTAAATTGAGAGCAGTTTCGCCTTCTCACAAGCAAGGCAAGGCAAAATTTATTTATAGAGCACAATTTAACACAACCGTTTTTGATCCAAAGTGCTTTACAATAAAATAAACTAGACAATAAAACTAAAAATAACTGGTATTAAAAATACAATGAAATATATTTAAAAGTAATACTAAAATATAAATAATAAAAAAATAACATGCATGCATCAGTCAAAGGCAAGAGAGTAAAAATGTGTCTTTAAGTTAGATTTAAAAGCATCGAAAGAAGGAGAGACTATTCCAGAGCCTTGGGGCCGCAACACTGAAAGCTTGATCACCCTTTGACTTGCAGCGAGACCGAGGGACAGACAAAAGAAACTGATCATGTGATCTTAAGAATCTATATGGCCTAATAAGCTCGCTGACATAGGCCCTGGCAGAATTGTGCAAAGCTTTATAAGTGAAGAGAAGAATTTTAAAATCAACCCTGTATTTTATAGGTAGCCAGTGCAATGAGGCAAGGACAGGGGAGATTTGATCTCTTTTCTTAGTTCCTGTTATTAATCTGGCGGCTGCATTTTAGACCAACTGTAGCCGAGAGAGTGTTGACTGAGGTAGGCCAATGTACAAAGAATTGCAGTAGTCTAACCGAGAGGAGATTAAAGCATGGATTACGATATCTAAATCTTTTTTAGAAAGAAAGCGTTTAACTTTTGCCACCAATCTAAGCTGGAAGAAACTGCTCTTCACAACCGCATTTACATGTTTGTCAAACTGCAAGAGTGGATCAAAGATAACTCCGAGATTCTTGGCGTGATTGTGCAGATTGTCGTTTAGGGCTCCTAGCTGAGTTTTAATTGAATTGTTGGTAGCAGCAGGACCTAAAATTAACACTTCTGTTTTATTCTCATTTAGTTGCAGAGAGTTATTTGTCATCCAGGTCTTAATGTCGGTAAGGCATAGGAAAAGATTTTCTAATGATAAATCTTTTCCTAGTTTGATTGGAAAGTATAGTTGGAGATCATCAGCATAGCAGTGATAGCTTATGTTATGTTTGAGGAGTATTGAGCTTAAAGGAAGCATATAAAGAGAAAATAAAAGCGTTTGCTGCATGTCTATATTTGAAATAACATGCGCATGATTATTAAAGAACTTCTCACATCCGATCTTTTAAGAAGCGGACAAACATGAGAGGGAAGTACAAAAAAACAAAGGAGAAGCCTGATAAAAGCCCTTTTTTTTCAGCAACCTAAAACGTGAACAAACAGCCCTGTTTAATTATTATAATCACCTTTTTAATTATTATAATGACCTGTACTGACCCGTACCATACTGTACCACTCAGTGTAAATGGGCTATTAATATACAAGTAGCTAAAACTCACTTATTCAGAGATGGTAACCAGGGATGTGCAACAACTATAATAATCATACGGTGAACACAAATCATCTGGAGCTCCTTCACGGGACTCAACACTCCCTCCATTGGGCTCGCGGCTCTCAGCACTGCCCACACTTGGCAAAGCTACCAAGCCGACCAATCACAGAGCTTGTCACTTTTTTGAGAGGTGCACATCAGCGTTGGCGTTAGCTACAGTGAGGGCTATATGACCACACAAAGGCTGCACCGGAAGTATAAATCAGCCTTTAGTTGTGGGTATTGATAATGAAAGACTGCACTGTCCAATCACTCCCTAACCTTCAACTGCTGCCTGTACTGTGATTCGAATCTGCAATCTTTGGGTTACAATCTTACTCTAACATCTAGGCCACAACAGCCCCCAGTGGCCCAAGAGGAAAATTCATTACTCATGGGACCCCAATGGTGGCCAGCTCCAATAGTTTTAGTTTCCAAACTACCTGATGCAAGAGTCCCTAAAATGAACTTTATCATTGCTGAACAAATCCTTGTTCTTGTCCTGACCTCTAGAAGAGACTCGTGTGAGATTAATGGGGTCATTTCCTCTGGAGAAAAATAAAAGAAGCAGACATAAACAGAAAGGAGAAACAACTCATTTTAAAAGGGGTCTCTTGTGAAAAGAAAAAGGTCCTTGGGCTTTGGAGGAGATCTCAAAGTTGTCTGAATGTCAGAGTATAAAAGTTTTCAATTAAAAATCAAAGATCTAAGAATGAACTCAATCCCTGCCCTCGTCAGATTATTTGAAAATTAAATCATCTCAGCTAGGAGGAAAAAAATAATAATAATGACGTTTTTGACGTTAAACCTGGTGTCTTGAATCTTAATAAGCCATATTTGACCTGAAAGGGAATAAGATTGTATTCTGTGGAAATGTTGGTCTTTCCTGTTGATTTCCTTCACACAGACCTGTCAACAACTCAAGAAATTGAGCGCACAAGTCACATGACCTATGTTTATGGCACTTTGTTGCAAATAGCTCAGGGGCCCTAACAATATTTGCTAGGACTGCCATGACAGGCCCCTGGAGGACATTGGGATGGGGAATGTAAATTGGCTTTATGGCTCCATTCCCTCTCCTCATCTTCACTCGCTTCTCCCGTTCACTCCCTCAGGTTGTGTCCTCTGGGAGTAAAATGGAAAGACAGAAAGATGAGACATCAAGCACAGAAACTTGAGGGGGTTCCCAGGGAATAATTGTTCTATAACCAGCTTCGCAAAGACATTTTTGCAGCTCTTTGTTCTGCATTTAATACAATGTCATCTTTCATTATTCTCAATACTTTGTTTGATGAAAAAGGGATTTTCTCTAGGGAAGTTTTTCAGATTATGGAGGTTATTTTATGGAATATAATATGAGAAGAATATAACGTGTCTTAACTTCATCCCCACTAAATGCTAGTTGAATTCATAGAAAAACAACAGAAATTTTTCAGGGAACAATACTCTTTTTTTTAATTTTTTTTTTTTTTGGAAACAGGCTCATTTTACGAATCCCCTAGTTGAACCCATTTTGAATCCGTTTAGCCAATCTTTGGGTCTGGCAGGGGCTCTTTTTAGCTTATCTTAGCTTAGCTTAGAGTTTTGATCATTTCCCTGTTTAAAGTTTGACTCTGCTGTAGTTTTATATTTTTCTAAGCCTAGTGGAGTGTTCACACTAGACATGGCTTGCGCAATTAACTTGTGATATTCACGTGTAAATAGACGCATGAACTTTTCAGTTTTTTTGCTTCATTCATGTTTCAAATACGCTTAATTTGTACATGAAATTCACTTCACAATAGAAGTAGATTCATGCCATGGCCATGGCTCCTGTCCTCTAGTTTAATTGCTAAATGGCTCACATGGATTTTATTGAGAGGGTAGCTGTGCTTTATGTGCTTTAGGAAGGGTGAAAAACAGCGTAGATTCATTCGGCGCCGTGACTGAGTCCACTAGATCCCTTCAAAGGTGCACCCTGCACTGTCATTAACTCCTCCAGATACTATTCTTGGATGATGGAAGCTTTCAGTGGTACTTCCGACTAAGCCGAGTCCAGTTTAATGAGCTGTTGTCCTTGGTCGGCAGGAAGATTTCCCCCTCGGGACACCAACAAGAAACGCATACTTGAGCAAGCTCTTGATTGGTTAATGCAGTGCACCTCAAACACATAAAACACTCAGTTTGCACAAATGATGTAATTCATGCCAATAGATGACTTAACATGGAAATCACTTGCGCTTGACGTGTCATACCATAGAGGCGACCTAGCCCCCCCAAACAAGTTTGTCTAGAGTGCCAGTTAAGTTTGTTCCGGCCTTGGATGTGAATGCACCTTAAGAATGAAAAGTTGATATTTTTTATAGGTCAAAATGGCTAAGAACTATACTCTCTTTCTGGCGTAATAATTAAGAAACTTTCCTGAAGAAAGTACAATGATATTGTACAGCGCCTGAAAATCAGCTTACTTGGTCAATATGACCACCTGCTTGCACAGAGGGAGCGAGATGCTAATTGTCTAATCTGATTCATTGAACTATGCTAAACTAGGGTAAAAGAGCCCCTGTCAGACCTGAAGATTGACTGAATAGATTCAAAAGGAGTAAAACTCATCTGCTTAATTCTAGGAGACTTTAAAAATGAGCCAATTTCCAAAAAAACATTTCTTTAAAACATCTAATTTTGGCGTTGATTGTCTCATAACTGAAAGATTCGGCACAATGCTTTACTCCCTCTGTTTAAGTTTGACAAACTTAGAGTATCGCTGTAGATTGGGAAACCCCTATAATTGTTTTATAGTGTGGTCTACTTTTTAAAGGTTATTACCCATATAGAAATATCCATTAAAAGGCTCCCTAAAGAGTGCTACAAACCAAATGGTTAAATTAATTCATGTCATTCTCCAGTACCTCGGTCGTCCTTTTGTAAATAATAATTGAAAATGAAATTAGACTGTTTCCTCGATGGACATTTGTCCCTAGGCAGCAGTTCCAACAATGCTTCTCATTGTATTTTGTCGAACCTTAGTTTGCACCTCTGTTGAAATTAATTCAGGGAAGGAAACAAAAAAGACTGAGACAGAGTACATGGTGGATTTATAAAGTCTACAGAAATTTGCTATCTCATGAGTCATCGTTCCCAAAAGGTAGATAAGGCCAGTGTTTGAGGAACGGCGACAAATAGCACTCTCCGGAAAGCGCTATCATCCTTGGGAGCACCTCATCTCTTTCTAATACAGTCTTGCCGGCTTGCAAATTGCCTGCCATCACACTTATGGAGGAAGATGAGATGGCAAGCAAAGGGGATGCAAGCTGTCACCCCCCTCAGCCAATAAATCCCATCCCAGTCTAAGGGATTTGCGCTGACCTTGCGGAAATGGGACAAAAAGCCTGGGCAATAACCCTTGATATGTGTAATCACAGGGCCGATAAATCTATTTTTAATGGAAGACAGCTGCTAACTCTTTCATCTTTCTCTGCTCCGTTGGCAGAGGGCAGGCTTCTTGTTTTATTTGACACCGCACGTGACGCTCTACAGAACAGGTGCATGCATCTGGCTGATTGCGAGCAAGTTGAGGGCGTACTTATTTAATAAAATATGGTGATGTGACCTCCTATACTGCTGCAAAAATCATTTCCTGCGCACTCCAAACATGCTTGATGGATCTTGTAACCTCTGTGTGGTGGAGTAAAAAGGGATGCTGGTTTGTTTAGTGGTGTATAAAATGATGAGGTAACTTTTCGTCAGAGCAAATGAGGTAAAAATTTCAGGGTATTGCTTCACACTTTCTGACATCAGCACATCTTCCCTGGTGTACTAGCGAGACCTCAATTTCCCTGCATAGCTAATCCTTCGCCAGTCTTTTGCGCTTGGATAACCACTGTAGGATGTGGAGGCCACGTGAGACTCGGAAATTGTTAGTCAGAGTTGAAGTATAGGTAAAATCAGAGGATCCAAAACTCAGGATCCTTGTCCTGAATTGAGATCAGTCTTCTACTGTGATGCTAATGAATATGACAGAATGCTGAAAGAACTAAATATATATGCTTCCGAAGTCCCTTTAAAAATCGTAATAAGTTTTTTTAGATGTTAATATCAATATGTTAGTCTTAAGTTTATATAATGCGCTACAAAACAGTGGCCATTATTTTTAGAAGATCTAAACATCCATAGCTTGCAGTTTGTTGCTTGGGCTTAAATGGATCAACGATTTTTTTGATGTAACTTCATACTTCGCTTTCTCATCAAAACTGCTGACCAGAGTTGGTTGTAAAGCGTTCCACAGTAACATGTTACTGTGTTCTAATTACATTTTTGGGGAATGCAGATATTTGCATAAATTTGTGTACTTTGATTACAGATACTAAAGTCAGGCGACAAGAACTGACCTGTTAGCTTCATGTTTTGTATGGCGCACATACATTCCAGTAGACTAATCACTTTAGACAACCACAGAACACCAAAACACTGCAATGTTTTTGCATACTATAGATGTTAATGGTTACAGGTATCCAGTTTTCTTCATGTCTTATTTTGTGTTAAAAAAAAGACAAACAGGTTTTTAACAAGTGAATGATAGAATTTTAAGTTTTGGACGGAATTTTAAAGTTTTTTGCATATGTCAAGCTGCTGTGATTAACTCTTTGTAATGATATTTATAAATTAATTCATTCTTTTTTTTTCGCCGTTGTCTCTTAATTAATCTGTGGTCGCCACAGCGGAATGAACCGCCAACTTATCCAGCCCATTTTTTACGCAGCGGATGCCCTTTCAGCTGCAACCCATCTCTGGGAAACATCCATACACACCCATACGTATTCATACACTATGGACAATTTAGCCCACCCAATTCATCTGTACCGCATGTCTTTGGACTGTGGGGGAAACCGGAGAACCCTGAGGAAACATACGCTAACGCGGAGAGAACATGCAAACTTCACACAGAAACGCCAACTGACCCAGCCGAGACTAGAACCAGCGACCTTCTTGCTGTAAGGCGACAGCAATACCTACTGCACCACCGCATCGCCTAATGTCTTTTAGTGAATCTTAAATTACTGATAGAACTGCAGTTTATTTTGTATTTGTATTTGTATTTAGGTATATTCTATTTGTTTTAAAAGTAACTTCAAAATAATTAATATTCTGATTACTTTTTACATGAAGTAATTAGTAATGTAATCAGATTACAATTTTCCATTAGTAATAAGTAATTTGTAATCTATTACTTTTTAAAGTGACTTACCCAACAATGTCTCTGACCAATCAAATGCATCTGACATGTCTTTTCATTTGCTTTTCATTTTATGCACTTGATCATAACCACTCTCAATGCTACTGGGATTCTATGTATTCTATAATTATTAACAAAAATGCACTTTTTAAAGCATTTCACGGGACCTTTATAAAGCAACTATTTTTTCTTTTCATTTTTGTCCACTGTGCAGGTTTTCCCCATGGACAGAATGTGACATTCAGGTGTGCAAGTAGGCCGTGTTTTCCAGGTGTTCAGTGCATTGACCTCCGGCCGCCCTACACTGGCTACGTTTGTGGACGTTGTCCACCTGGATATCAAGGCAATGGGCGCACATGCACAAAACATTCGAAGCATGGCAGTAAGTTTTTTATTTTTTATTGGTGTTTAACAAGAACATAGGAAAAATTACAGATTGTCTTAGTACTCTCATTTTCCCACTTTCCTCTCAAAATATGATAAATAAAATCTATGAAGTATAAGCAAATATATCCTCTGAGAGAAAACATAATAATAATAAATTAAAAATAAAATTTAAATAAAAAAATATTAATAATATTGAGCAAGTTAACAATAAAAGAGTAAAAAACAATGTTAAGGAGTCAATATTTCCTCTTTTTGAATTATTTACTGTGTTTTAGAACTGATATCAACTGAACATGGTACGCCATAGTCTAAAACAGGGTTGCAGGTCTTGTAGATTTGAGAGATCCTGCAAGTAAACATCTTAATTTCTCAAGTTTTGTGCAGCTAAAGATTTCTCGGATCCACATGTCATGTGATGGAGGAATCACCTGTTTCCATTTGATAAGAATGGCTGGTCTAGCTAAAAGAGTAGAAAAAGCAATAACCTGGCGAGATCCAACAGTCAAGTCAACTCTCTCTGAAATACCAAAAAGGGCTGTCAAGAGGTTAGGGTCTAGATTTATGTTAATAGCTTTATTAAATGTATCGAAAACACTGGAACAGAAATTGTCAATTGAGGGCAACTCCAGAAAATATGTAGATGGTTCGGCAGTAAGTTTATAATTTTTTTATTATTTATTTGTTTATTTTATTTAAATCAACCCTTGTCATCAATTAATTATTTTACTTAAAAATTCAATAGGTAATCCTCTTCAGAAATTAGGCTGGTTGAAAGTTTAAAAACATCCTGATAGCAATTAGCTGGTGTGAATGTATATAGGTTCTGTTTTAGTATTCAGTAAAAAGATGTAGTACCAAGTAAAGATGTAGGACTATGTTTAGTTAATCAAAACATTGATTCAATAATCAAGATTGATTCTATAAGAAAGTGCAGAAAGGATTTCATCATTGATGCATTCATGGATGCGGTTCAGTCAGAGAATGATAGGCAAACATCAACAACCTACCGTCTGCATTCAGGAGACATGGCTTTGGATGGCGATTTGGAGGGTTGGGCGTAAGCTTTCAGTGCTAATACTGTGCATTAAAAGAGCGGCGAGAGCATCAATGTACCGTAAGTCATTAATTTGTCATAACAGCCATTGGCGAGGACCAGCACGACACGTCTTGTGGCCGTTGAGGAGAGTTGAAATCAAGTCAACTTTATAGTCATGAGCTATGACGCGGTTCGCCGGCAAGCAGGCAGAATGTAGAAGTGCACCGCTTGAGAGGAGTCCAGAGACAACAAAGTCACTGTGAACTTTAGTCCCGACCACAGTTGTTCCCAAGAGTTGCGGTCACCGGATTTCCAATTATTTATGATGGGACAGGGCGACCAGAGCAAACTTTGATGCTCTTGCTGCCTTTGGTGTGAACGCACAGTTAAGCTAATGTTAGCATTTTCCAAGAGCTCTTTATTTTACCTTTAAATGACATTTTATATCTAATTTCAAAACAATAACTTAAAAAAACACAACAACTCTGAAAAAGTTATGTTGCTAGAGTTGTAGCATTATCGTGAAGTCTAAACTTATAATTCAGCCATAAAATTTTGTTTGCCACTGTTTTCATCTTCAATCCTCCTTTAATCCTCCTTGTTTCATCTCCTGAAAGCGCAAAGCTCCAGTAATTAGGGAAAAATGTAATGAACAGGAAACAAGGCTGTTGTAATCCTCAAAATGCGACAGGTGCTTTGATACGGTTGATAACTGAGACCTGGAAACGTCGAAAGCTCAGTCATGCACAAGCTGCGGCATGGTGCTTGCTGACCCACAGTGTGTTTTTGGCTGACAGGAATAGGGAGCGGAAAGAGACAGTAAGGAATTAAGAAAAGAATGTGTAAACTCATTTAGAAGAGGGGATGAGGAGAGGGAAGAAAGTGGAGAAGAGTTAACAGAAAACTGGGTTTTTAACAAAGTAACATATTCTTTGGTCTTTGATTCCCCTTTTATTTTTATTTTTTTTAGAAAAGCAAACTACCAGACTGCATCTTATCCCTCCTTATCCCCAGAGTACAGTATGTTACATTTCACTCAATGGAAATGTTGTTAGACTTCTTAATCTGTTCCTTTGCTTGAAAAATCCCTCAAATACATTTTCCTAGGTTGCAGTATCGCAGCATGACGGTAAAAGCCTTCCGAGCAGGGTAATGACTTTTAATGCATTTTTCTCTGTGAATGGGCCACTGCTGGAATCATTCCTAATAGTGCCGTAATCAGGAGTGAATCCATGAGCAGCCACAGTGGGAACTAGGAAAGAAACAGCTTTATTTTGCAAGCTAATTCCCTCATTGTCACCACATGCGGCTCTGATTCTCCTACACTCAGAAACGACTGTGTGTCTCTGTTGTTAGGATTGCGTTTTGTTGTACTGCATCTTTGTTCCTCATTTCTGGATGGGGACAGAATAAATCTTGCTGAGCAGCCACAGCAGCTGTTTTTTTTTTAAACATATTGTTTATGAGTAAATATAACAGCAACACCAGGCTGTTTTAAGCTTGTACTAAGCGCCATTGCATCATAAACGCTCTTCTGGTGGCCTCATTGTTTAAAATCTTCAAAGGTCTGTTTGAGATCTCCAGAGGATGATGGTGAATCATAACTGCAGGATGTACTGTCAGTCCTATCCTTTCATTCTGGTGTCCTTGTTCTTTTTTTCACTTGGTAATGAGCTTTACCATGCCTTGTTGTGTCAGACAAGTTAACTTTTTAAACAAACACTCCACAAGTCCCCAACAACAGTGGTTCTCAGTTCAAGTCCTTGGGACACCCCACCCTGCACATTTTTAGGTCTCTCTTATTTGACAGACAAGGATCAGTTCATAGATCAAGCTGATCTGAATCAGGTGTGCTAAGTAAGAGAGATATACAAAATGTGCTGGGAGGGGGGTCCCGAGAAATGGAATTGGAAACCACTTCCCTAGGAGAGTTATATTTATTTATGTTTCTATCAATTTTGCATAATAAGCTTGTCTTGTCTTCTAGCACCTCGCTACTTACCGCAGATGACCCAAGCCAAGAACAACCCATCTCGCATCCCCCACAGTGTTCCCCATCTGCACCTCCCTGTTCTTCCATTCAGGCAAACTCAACGACACCTATCCTCACTTGCGAAGACACTTCACCATCAGGCTACCACTCGCATACCCCTCCCGCCAACATTTCCACCTGTCACAGAGAAAAGAAAGTTGGCGCTGACGACAGGACGCATGCCGGCCTCAACTAGCGGAAGGGATCAACTTCTTTCTGGCTCTCACAATCAACTCAATGTTCTCCCGAGTCCCACGGATCGAGATGCTTCAGTTAAAGTCTTGACAGGTGGATTTGCGGGTGTCACATCTGGAAAAGTCACTTTACCTCACACTTCAAGGCATGTTGAGGCACTGAGGCAGACTCAAAAACAATCTAGTCCGGCCACAATTTCCCAAGCTCGACCTTGGACTCCTCCAGACACCCAGCGACCCCTAACAGCAGCTTTAACCTCCCTCTCCTTCTCCTTCTCTGAGTCGGAGTTCTCCGCAGATGGAGGCCTTGGAGCTGGAATTCAAGACCCTTATGAGTCCCAGCCACTTCCCCAGGAGAGCTTCACCTACCTTGGTGAACAAAGCCACACCAAGTCTTTGAGCAACCAACCAGCTCTTGAGAAAGGTAGACACCCAAGCAAAACCAGCAACGTGGTTCTCTTAGAGGAGAGAAGTTTCTCCTGTGCAGATGTTTCTTGCTTCCCTGGAGTACACTGTGAGCTTGCAGGGGATGGACAATCTAGATGTGGACGGTGTCCTTTGGGGTACACCGGAAATGGACAAATGTGCAGAGGTAATTCTAGATGTATAGATGTCTTTTCTTCATTAATCATTTAGTCCAACAGTTAGTGACTTGCTTATCTATGACACAATTTTTTTGTATTGCCTACTTTAAACACATATGTACCCTGCTGACCCCAGAAAGTGTGTAATAGTACCTTAAAATACAGGTATCTAACCTTAAGGTGTTGCTGAATAAATTTTAGACATACACTAGTCCAGGAGTTCTCAAAATCGGTCCTGGAGGGTTGGTGTCCTGCAGATTTTAGCTCCAACATGCCTCAACACACCTGGAAGGATGTTTCTAGAAATCCCAGTAAGAGCTTGATTAGCTAGCCCAGGTGTGTCTGATTAAGGTTGGAACTAATCTTTGGAGGACACCGGCCCTCCAGGACAAAATTTGAGAACCCCTGCACTAGTCTATACCTTTTTGAACAATAACACAAAATGGCTAACCTTTGAGGTTGTACCTTGTTTATTCCTAAAATGTTTATAGCAATGTCTTATAGATAGACACTTCAATCACACTTTATTTTAAGGTACAATTCTCAATATTAACAAACCATACTACGTATATAACTAGAACTTAAACTCGATATACTGTCAATTTGCAGATTATTAATAGTTATTAAGGTAGTAGTTGGGTTTAGGTACTGTGTTAGATTAGGGTTATAGAATAACATTAAGCAGAATGTGTACTTTATAAGTACTAATAAACTATTAATATCTGAATAATAGGCAGAAAATAAGCCACTAGTTAATAGTTAGAATTAGTTCCTATACCAAAGATGTCAAACTCGATTCCTGGAGGGCCACAGCCTTGTAGAGTTTGGTTCCAACCCTGCTTTAATTCTCCTATCTGTATGTTTCAAACAAGCCTAAAGCACTTAATTAGTTTGACACCTGTGCTTTATACTGAATGTGTTACCAAAACTTCTATTCAAAGGTAGTAATATGAACTTTGTGGGGTAAACGATGTACAGTGTCTTAAAACACCTTCGTATTCTGTTGAACACAGAAGGTGCATATTAGCATAGACTAGTTTATTTCCCAAAATTGTGAATTTATGTAGAAATTTTCAATTTGATCTACAATAAGTTAGCGAATGAACTGAAGGCATGCAGTCTAAGACCTAGACTACAGCAAAGTGAGTAGGAGCTTAAAACTGACAACTGACAGTAACTGGTGTAAACAATAAACTCATTCCCTGAGCATGCTCCAGGCATGAGGAATAAATACATTCCTTGAGCTCCATCCCGTGGGTTCATGAACCAGAGAAAATTAGGAGCAGTGGGTGGAAGAATCACTAGAAATATGTTTTCTATTGTAATCCCATGATATTGCATTACTATGTTGAATTCACTGAACGCAGTGATTACTTATGCATTCATGGATTATTTTCAGGCACTGTTTTCGAGGTATGAATATAGCCTGAACATGCACAGGTGTCTTGTGTTGAGCTCTGCGAAAGCAGATGGCAGCGGATCCAGCATTGTCATTAAACAAGAAGTTTTGTAGTGAAAGTTATCCAACTATTCAAATCAGCCCTGCGTTTTTCAGAATGCTTGAAGGAAGAACGTAGGGTGAATCTTAAAAAGCAAGCATGGTAATTATCCGCAAATAAAACACCTGCACTTTTAACACCAACGCTCTTTAATTTAAAGTGAAAGGTACGCGTTTAAAATAGGTTTAGTACATACCGACTCTGTATGTGGCCATGCTTTCTGTGCTCCAGGCTGCAGATGGAGGCAAGTACGTGTTTGCATGTTGATGGAGTGTATCCGACCATGTGTTATTTGTGTTTGCATGCCATTTGTGTCTTCAGCCGTGTGCAGACATGCCTGCGGTAGAAACATGGAGTGCGCGGCCCCCAACACGTGTCGCTGCAAGAAGGGCTACAGTGGTGCCAACTGCGAAACAGGTCACACAAATTAATAATGTGGTTATAGGTACGATCACTTAAGCAAATATAATAATGTTTTTATTTTTATTTATTCCCAAAGCTGTCTGCCATCCAGCCTGTCTAAATGGAGGGAAATGTATAGCGCCTGATATATGTGAATGCCTGTCTGGGTACCATGGAGAGATCTGTGAAAGTGGTAAGAGCATGTGCGTCTGGAATAAAATTTCATTTGCTGCATCCGAAACCGCATATGCCGCCATTATACATTGTCTAAATGCATAGTAATTTGAAAACCAGTTAGCAAGAAATACCCATATTGTGTACTACATAAACAAAGATCATGGAAATCAGGAGACTTTACAATACATTTTGAAAATATTTTAATTGATCACCACAACTTCAGCCTATGGTCTCTATACGTAATATGAATATGAACATATTGTCGTTTTTGTTAAATTGCATATTTGCAATTTACACTTGCGAGTCGATAGCGAGATCAATTTCACAAACTTTCACTTTTGAACCTGTTTCAAAATTAGGCATTTTTAGGCTCACACAGCCCTATTTGCATGCAAACAAATAGGAAAAACACATAAAAAATATATAATTTTAAGTTCTAAATGACCTCTGTAGTTAATTTTGTTTACACTACTACGAAGTAACATATTCACAACTTGACAAAGCTAACCTGTTAACAGTTGTTGTGTTCCAAATGATCCACTATGGTCACTTATGTATTTATACACTCAACTGTGCAGTGCATGAGGTTATTGTCTTAAGTTATACTGAACAAAAATTTCCCAAATTTCCCAGTTGACATTTAACGGTTGCCGAATTAGTGAAATAAATGACCAAATAGTACCTATCATCTGTACAACCACATTCACCGACGTAGGCAGCATATTCACTTACATAGGAGAAATTTGCATGCACAATCCAAAATAAATTCACCAATCTAACATCAGCAGCTGTTAGCCCCTCCCCTTACTCTACATGAGCATAGATAATCAACCAGGTATTAAAATAATATACTTTTTTTATTATTTTTGAGTGTGAATGCACTACAGACACTATTAATACTACAGAATAGTGTAGAATAGTGTGTTAGTAAGCGATTCGGGATGGACGTTTTATGTTATTGGCACTAGCATCCTACAAATCTGTGCCTTTTACCTCTTTCTTTAAAGAAGCAGCTGTGCCAAATAATCTGTGCAGCCTTGATGATGAGTTATATGTTAGCTGTTCCCTTTGTGTGAAATATGGTCATATTTTGTGTGCGTTTGGTCGTGTGAATACTCCCGCAGCTCTCTGCAGTTTGCCCTGCCTGCACGGAGGCACCTGCGTGGGCCGAGACACCTGCTCATGTCCCTATGGCTTCGTAGGCCCCAGATGTGAAACCAGTAAGTCCCGATAAATCATTTCGGCTTGGGTTTCAAGCACATGTTAAATGTAAGCTCTGGCGCCCCTAATGGTCACATGAGGTATTACAGTTTATAAATGGTTTTTTTTTACACAGTGGTGTGCAACCATCACTGTCAAAACGGCGGAAAGTGCACGTCGCCGGATGAGTGCGAATGTCTGGCGGGTTGGACGGGACCATCTTGCGAGACAGGTGAGTGTATATGTGTGTGTGTCTTTGTTGGAGTGTGTGTGTATTTGGGTGGCTCCCAATGGGACCAATCTCTTCTCACTAAATCCATCTTCTATGTGTGTGTGTGCTGCTTCCTGGTGGCATTTAGCTGATGTAGAACCTCTGTCTGTTCATTTTTCATTCCGTCCTGGCGGCTCAGAGAAAACAGCAGCTATTATTTCAGCCGGATGATAACTTCCTCTTGTCCACCGGAGAGGATCAATTATCATCTATTGAGTGGAGAACCTCAGAGGAACAAATGCAGTTTTTATTCACATTAGACTATTTGGTAAAAATGCTTGTATATCAAAAAGTACACTTTACAATCCAATTTGTTGACACATTTAAGGCATGTTTTTAAGATCAACATAAAGTGTCAGAGCTTTGCCTTTTGCTTTTATAAATGAATGTAAAATATATGAATTTGCAATATCTACATAGAGGTCAAAAAGTAATTCAACATCCCATTTTTGGAGTCCACATCAAGTTAAATTGGCAAGTTATTTTATATAAACATTAAATGCAAGCTAAATGTCGACTTTAATGTTCATGTTGTTTTGTTTATGTAAAAGTTAAACAACTTATTCTGACGCGTACATATATAAAACATCTAAAAGTTATTTAATATGTCATCAAATTATTCATGTTCTAAATATACCTGGCAAGATTTAGGGGCCCTATCATACACCCAGCGCAATAAGACGCAAGACGTGTTTCCCCCTATTTTCAGACCAGAGCAAGCTGAATTTTCCTGTTTTTTTCACCATGTTGTTTAAATAGCAAATCCATTTGCGCCATTTTGTGGACTCATGGGTGTGCCGGTCTAGAAAAGAGGTGTGTTAAGTCGCATTGTTGGCGCGTTGCTATATTGAGGAACTAAAATAGACATAATTTATTTTAAGCATATTTATATTTTTTTTATTAAAAACAAGCTTAGATTTGTTCACCTGTCAGGTTTTGGACCATATGGGGCATAGGACGTGTGTCTGGAAATAACTCTTTTGACCACACTTCGTTATTATTGTTTATTTATTCCTTTGTCTGGAAATTAGAACTAAATTTGCGCTTAACAAACTAAATGAATTATGTCGGCTAATGGATGTCTTCAGTGGTGTGCGTACAACAACATTTTCTTAAACGCAAAAGAGAGGAAGAGAAAGTGAAAGTAAAGAGGCTGAATGTAGGACATCCTTTATCCTTGTGCTGCAGATGGTTTAACTGTTTTCTCGCCAGTGAAGCGCTCAGTTTTTCTACTTACAAAGTCCGCCAAGTAAATAGCAAATGTGCCTGGGTGCGACTCAACTGACTCTTAAAGGAAATAGGGAATGAAACTCTGATTGGTTTATTCACAAAACACTGCCAAAACTCATTAAAAGAATAAGCTCAACCCTGTTAGACCATGCGCTGCGGCGCAGAGCGTATTTTTCTGTCCTTAAAATAGCAAAAGGGAATTCGGACACGCCCTTAATGCTTTTTCGCCTTGCGCTTTAGACTTTGTGCCTAGATTGTTAAAATAGAGCACTTAGTATACACTTAGTCATATAATGTTGTCAATAATACAGTCACAAATAATTTTCAACATAATTTTTGCTTATTTATTCATGTGCCTTTTAATAGCTTTTACATTTTAAAAAATGATTTATATAATTTTTAAGCTTTTTGATTTCTATTTAATGTTTAATTTACATCTCATGCTGCACTTTTATTTTTACAATAACCAATGACTAAATATGCATTGTATTGATCAAAAATAAAAATGTTTTCTTCATTTGAAAAATCATTAGAATGTGAAGTAAAAATCATGTTGCATGAAGATTTTTGTAAATTTTCTGCTGTAAATACTTAACTAAATGTACATCGCTAAGTGCTTTAATATTTAAATTTTTAAGATTCCTTAATTGACACTCATGATTGGTTTTATGTTCCAGGGTAACATTATATTTATTTTTAGCTTCATTTAAATGTAAAAACTATATAATTTTTCATAGTTTTACTTAACGACATAATTAAATGCTCTAGGTAAATGTCATATTTTAATTAATTTTTTAAAAGAATTTGTTACAATTGTATTGTAGTGATCTCAAATGTTTTTTAAATGAACCCCACTTTTTTGGGGAGTGGGCAGGAGAAGGGCTCGTTTTAAAAGTTACATTTGGTTAAACAGTTGTTTATTCATTTTTGAACGATATGGTCTAATCTGATTCAATAATGTATTTTAAAATTAAAAGGGATCCCACCAGACCAGAAGATCTGAATGGATTAAAAAATGGTAAAACTCAACTTTTTAACTCTAGGGGGTTGTAAAAAAAAAAGAGTACTTTCACACTCATTTGCCCAGTTGGCACGGTTCATTTGGCATATGAAATCTGCAATCATGCTTGAATCCACACCAAATCAATCAGTCCGAATAAGGTGATCCCGGCTCAATTAAAATGAACTCTGGAGCGGATCGATTGTAGTGAGAATACAAAATTATCTAACGAACTAACAAGCAGGCAATATTACAGTGCATAATGGTAATTTAATACCTATATATATATATATATATATATATATAGGTATGTGTGTGTGTGTGTGTGTGTGTGTGTGTGTGTGTGTGTGTGTGTGTGTGTGTGTGTGTGTGTGGCTATACGAAGAAAGAATTATAGGTATGGTGGGATGTCCTACAGGTAAATGTGCGTTTCATGTCAAATACGGAAGTAAAATCATACTGAACTATTAACCAGAGCTGTTTACCTTTCATCTGATAATTTTTTCCAAATTTGAGTCATATAATATTTTACATTAGGCCTATTATTTTGTGTAATTCTGCACTGACACCTGGAAAGAAAGATTGATCTTCTTCATGATCTGACTACAGTCTCGCTTCATCTGTTATTTCTCTCTATAATTTAAGCCTATAATGAATAATTCTAGCCAACGTTTTTTTAATAGATTGATTGATTCAATAGGCCTTTTTCACACTTCCTGGTTCCGGTAAGCGAAGCAGTGTACCACAACATCCGGTTTCAATGCGACGGAGCAAGAAAGAATGGCAGGGTCATCTCATCACTGTGATTGCTGCGTTCCCAGCTGCTCCAACTCAAAAACGACACTCTTACTTTAATGACCACGATCTCCCGAAAGACGAAGGACAGGGAAAATAATGGATGACAATATTAAAGGGGGTTGAATGCCGTTTCAAGTTATATGCGAAAGTACATTCTTATGCTGTATGCACTTCAAAGCGGAGATTATTATGTTTCATTAAAGACTGGTGGTCTATGGTTTATTTTGATGAGTAATTATAATATAGACAAAACTCCAGTTAAACTATATGCCTTCCACAAACAAGTGCTCATCATGGTCATTAATCTATAAGCATGATTTATCCCTACATTGTTGTTATTTTGGAATAATAGACAGTTCATACAAATGCAAATCTCTTGTTTTTTAATTGGTTTGACAGCAAAATTATTTGTTTAGTCAGTTATATAATAAAGATGGTATACTTTTCTTACAATGAAGTCCTTTCTTATTACAAAATCTCAATAACCCAGCAAGTTTTCAACTGTTATTAGTTCAATTCCTGCAGAGACATGTTATTCATTCATGTTATTTAGAGGTATTAATAAGACCATCCTTCTGATGCATCGTCTTTTGATATTGCTAAATCTTATGTCGGCAAATTTTGTTTTACTAAATACCAAGAGTAATGATAGAGCTATTCATACTCTTTTCCAAAAAGAAATCATTACTGTACCTTATATTCAATTTTATTATATGTCTTTTTATTAAAGGGTGAATTAAAGAAAAGTGTGGCTGTTACCACAGAAGTATCATGTTAGAAATAGAATTAAAGAAATGTCCTATAAACTCATCCACAGGTTTTATCCAGTAAAACATTGTTTGCAAAAATTAAAAAGTGGGATTGATGTAAATTGTATTTTTGTAACGAATATGAGGAGACAGTTTTACACTTATTTTGGCATTGTACATAGTCAGCTTATGGGGTGAGCTGCAAAATGTATTAATAACGATTCTTTTGTGTTCAAAACCTATGTTGTTAACAAAATTGTACATTCATAAATGTAAATTTACTAATATGAAACCAGATTTTAAGGTATTGATGACTGAAATATGCTTGTATAATACCAGTATCAACTCTCTAAACAAACTCGATCCACTTTAAAATGTGTGAACTCTACAATGTATTTCATTATTACATATGTTATATTACATTTTGTATATTTGTATTTTATTTATAATTACCCCCTGGTATGTACATTTTTGTATTGTAAAATGTTAATTGCTGTTCTTTAAATAAATAATAAAAATTAATATTATCCACGAGTAGGAGCTAACGTGTTTCCAGACTTGAGAAAACCTCACGAGCATTAAACAACCTGTAATGTATTAACCGATAGCAACTCGCCTGAACAGCTACCTCGCCATTCACTATATCTGACTCTGAATAAAAAGGAAGGAGGGGGTTAGCACAGTTTACAGACGGGACTACTGACATAAAACTCATCCTGCTGGATGTTAAAAAGCCAGGTTAATCTAATTTACGAATGGCTTGAATGAGCAGATTTTATGCTGTTGGCTGTGCACCTTACTGAAACCTGACGTTGCAAACGCTGTGTAAGACACGTTTTCTGCACAAACTCTGCAAATCGGTATCATCTTTTAAATGCTGTTTTATTAAGGCAGTTTTACACATTCACCGAACAACATCTTCCTGTCCAAATTATGGCAAAGTTGACCGTGAGAAAGTCATCCGCTGTCCCGAGGCTGTCATGTCTCTGCGACTCCTAGCGAACCCGGAAATATCGATACACTGCTTCGAAGGGCGCTTCCGGTGTTCAATTCCGCTGTGAAAAAGGTCTATAGATCGATTTTTACAACGCTTGATTACTAAAATGAGGCTATGTATGAGAAAGTCTTCCCTCTGTGATGTATATTTGGTGACGATATCTGTGCGTGGGTGTCAAAATTAAAGTGCACATTTTCGCTCATAGTGTCTCATTGCTTATCATCATAAACTGAAATGATGACATATGATAACTGATCGAGATCCATTAAACCTTTTATTAATAAACCTTCAAACTCAGAATCAGAATTAGAATCAGTTTTAGTGCCAAGTGTGCTTCACACACATAAGGAATTTGTTTTGTCTACAGAAGCTGCCAGTGTACATAAAGTGACAAGTGACAACAAAATAAATATGAAAAAAACACGTTGATAAACATTTAACAAGATGCAGTTAGTCAAGAAATCTGGATGTTAAATTGTACGTACAGATTTGTTATAAATATACAGGTAATAAGGTGCTGTGTACAAATGCGAATGTAGAAAGTATTGCATTGTATATTGATGTAAGGTGCTTTGTACAAGTGCGTATGAGAAAGTATTGCACATATTTATTGCGCAGTTGGGCGAAATTGAACAGTTCATGAGGTAGATGGCCTGAGGAAAGAAACTTTTCCTGTGTCTGGCTGTTTTTGTGCTTGGTGCTCTGAAGCCCCGACCAGACGGTAACAGTTCGAACAGGTAGTGTGCTGGGTGCGAGGTGTCCAGAGTGATTTAGCGAGGCCTTTTACTCGCTCTGGAAGAGTACATTTCTTGAAGTGTAGGAAGGGTAGTGCCAGTGATTCGTTCAGCAGTCCGGACTATTCGATGTATTCTACGGAGGTCGGTTTAGGCAGCAGAGACAAACCAGATGGTGATTGAAGTGCACAGGATGGATTGGATGACAGCTGAGTAGAACTGCACGAGCAGCTCTTGTGGCAGGTTAAACTTCCTGAGCTGATGAAGGAAGAACAGTTTCTGCTGGGCTTTCTTCACAATAGAGTCTATGTGAATGTCCCACTTCAGATCCTGAGAGATGGTGGTGCCCAGGAACGTGAATGACTCTACTGCAGCCACAGTGCTGTTCATGATGGTGAGTGGGGGGGGAATGCAGGGAGGTTTCTCCTAAAGCCCACTATCATCTCCACTGTTTTGAGCGTGTTCAGCTCCAGGTTGTTGTATCTGCACCAGAACACCAGCCGCTCCACCTACTCTCTGTATGCAGACTCGCCACCGTTCTGCCTGAGGCCAATAACAGTAGTGTCGTCTGCAAACTTAATGAGTTTGATGGAGGGATCTTTTACGGTGCAGTCGTTGGTGTACAGGGAGAAGAGCAGTGGGGAGAAAACACAACCCTGGGGGGCACCAGTGCTGATGGTGCGGCTGTTTGATGTGATTTTGCCCATTCTGACTAGCTGTTGTCTATCTGTCAGAAAGCTGGTGATCCATTGACAGGCAGAGCTAGGAACAGAGAGCTGGGTCAGTTTGTACTCGAGCAGTGAGGGGACGATGGCGTTAAAGGCAGAACTGAAGTCCACAAACAGAATCCTTTCGTAGTTCCCTGGTTTGTCCAGATGTTGTAGGGTATAATGCAGCTCTGTGTTGACTGCATCGTTCACAGACCAGTTTGCCCAATAGGCAAACTGCAGGGGGTCCAGTAGGGGTCCAGTGATGTCCTTCAGATATGCTAGCACCAGTCTTTCGAATAACTTCATGGCCGCAGATGTTAAGGCAACAGGTCTGTAGTCATTGAGTACTGTGATCTTTGGCTTCTTCGGGATTGGGATGATAGTGGAGCGCTTAAAGCAGGATAGAGCTTTGCGCTGTTTCAGTGATCTGTTGAAGATCTGGGAGAAAATGGGAGCCAGCTGGTCAGCGCAGGTTCTCAGACAGGCTGGTGAAACACTGTCTGGGCCTGATGCTTTCCTTTTTTTCTGTTTACTGAAGATCTGATGCACATTATCCTCAGTAATCTGAAGTGCAGGGGGGCCAATATGAGGAGAGTTTACTCACTTGACTTGTTTTAGCTATTTTGGTCTGTTTAAAAACTTACCTGTGTGAAAGTGAACCGCACAAAGAACAAAGTGCAACATTGTAACAATTTCAATCACTGTTCCGGAACAAAACAATCGATCTACAGGTGTAAAAGCACCCAAGCCTACGTTAAAAAAAAGTGTGGTGTTCCTTTAAAAGAGCCTGACAGTGAACAACAACTTGTTTTTTTACTCTCTTTAAACAAATAAATCATTGTTTTTCAGCTGAAGCGCAGTGAGTTTGACCTCCCACACACCGTCTAGGCAGCTGTCTAGGTTTTATTCATGTTTTATTTAATAAACGTATCTGTCTCCGTGTAGCTCTGTGTGACCCCGTGTGTCTCAACGGAGGGACCTGCGTTCGGCCCAACTCCTGCACCTGCCAGCATGGTTTCTACGGGGCGCGCTGTCAAAACGGTAACAGCTTTTCTTTCATAATCCACCTTCCTGATGCATCACCTTATTTTCTAAGAGCTTACAAAAGTCGGATATCAATTTCTTAAGAGCGTACGGGGTGAAACTTGACTTCTGTGCGTAAGGAACGATAAAACGGACCGGTCCTAAAAACCCATTTGGCTTTTATTGAAGTCTTTCGCTCATGTCGTGGCCTTGATGTGTATATATCGATTCCTACTCGTAGTGAGGAATGATTCGCGTAATTGCTTGAAACAGTGGCCCAGGTAAAGATGTTTTTGATAATAGCAATTGACTCTAATGTCTGGGTTGCTTTAGGTTTGAGTGAAATGTTAGAGCTTTTAGAGAGCGTTTTCGCGGTCATGTCAGATTTGCTGTTGTTTATTTCACCTCACGGCTGTTTGATATATCCGTCATCAGTTCAGAGAACACAAGTCCAATATTCATTCATCAAATACTGGAAGTTTTTATCCACTTCTCTTATTTTTTTCTCATCAGCCGTCTGCAATCCACCCTGCAAAAATGGCGGACACTGTGTACGAAACAACGTCTGCTCATGTGTGGAGGGATATTCAGGGCAGCGCTGTGAGAAAAGTAAGTAAAAGCTTTTATTCACTGCTAGTTAGATCACTAAGCATGATTTACATACAATTTGTTTACCACAGAATGATTCATGAAACTTTTTTTTGAATATTTGCACAGCGGCTCAGTGGTTAGCAGGGCTGCCAACTTTTGGTTTTAGCTTGGAGTGAGAATTTATGCCCCACCCCTATGACCCCAAGCCCCGCCTCCATTTATTTAGAAATATATAAAAATTATAAATATGATTTTGATAAATACTTTGATAAAATATAAGTATTATTATTATACAATTATTATTCTATTCTAAATAGGAAAATCAATTCCAGATGTAACTGGAAAACAATGTAAAGACACAACTCAAGTGATATGCTAAGATCATTTAAGAAATCCTTTGTATAAATATATTAATTTCATTCATTTATTTATTTTCTTGTCGGCTTAGTCCCTTTATTAATCCAGGGTCGCCACAGCAGAATGAACTGCCAACTTATCCAGCAAGTTTTTACACAGCGGATGCCCTTCCAGCCGCAACCCATCTCTGGGAAACATCCACACACAGTCATTCACACACACACACTCACACACACACACTACGGACAATTTGGCCTACCCAATTCCCCTGTACCACATGTCTTTGGACTGTGGGGGAAACTGAAGCACCCGGAGGAAACCCACGCGAACGCAGGGAGAACATGCAAACTCCATACAGAAATGATATTAATTTCATTAGAGTGGAATTCTATTGACAATTCTATAGAACACACAAAAAATACGTTTTATAGAATTATCTGTTGTGTAAAGACGTTTTTTAACAACAGAGGTATGACACTAATGAGAGTGAACCCTTTCCTCAGAAGTCATGTATAAAGATCAACTTGTACAATAATGATGAGATACAATACTGATGAGATTAAGTTCAATTAGTTGTTTAATGTGTGGTTTAGTTGCAACCAACAACAACACTATGTTTTCCATGTAAATTTTTGTTTAAAATCAGCCAAAAAGGCTGATTTTAGAAACTGAGATTAGATGTAGTCTTCTACACTACAGTCAGTTTTTTCAGTCCTTCATAAACATGTAGTTTTGCACTTCTCTGCCCTATTGGAAATGCATAGGGATTCATATCAAACATCTGGAAGCGAAGCATATAGTTGTTTTGGTGATTAAAACAAGGGGAAAATGCTGCTCTGTAAGCCAAGATCGGCTGTGAGTTGAGGCGTTTACATATGGCCTGTCTGATCGAGGAGGAAGAGAGATGCGTCTGAGCAAATACAGTGAGTTATCAAGCATATGGGCCTTGGAATGGGTCAATTTGCATGGCAAGACTTGTTATATGGATTTTTTTTACCAATTAAAATAACATTTGAGAAATATTGGAAATTTCCTTATGCTGAGGTCAAGAGTACATGAAAATTTCTGAACGTATACTTCACTCCACAGAAAGTAAACAGCTTGTTAATTCATAATGCCATAACGAATGCTCAAACTAATAAAAATGGATAAAACTAATTTATGAATTAAGACAGCATTATTAAATAGTAATGATAATAATAAATTTAAGTGACAGAACATTTATAAATTTATAATTTCATAACTTAATTTATTAATAATACAATTTGTATTAAATTATGTTTACAAATAATAAATATTTGATATTTTAAGTTATGACAGAGGCGGCTTACTAATATTCAAATTTATAAATGCTTAATCAACTATTAATAATAAACCATTAGGTATTCATTCTAATAACAGATAATGCTAATAATTTAATATTGAACTATTAAAAACAAAATGTAAATTATGAATAATTCAATGCTTTTATCATACGGGCCTAATGGGTATCGGTTCGGCACCTCATTTTACCAATCCCCATCCTCAACCGCCCTACTCCCCTGTCCGCTGTACACTTTCACTTTCTTCCACGACTCCAAATCCCTCTTCACTTTTGTCCGCGACACCCCACCCCCATGTGCATGACACCTGCCCATCCTTGGGTAATATGCCGGATCATTACAACATTTACAGTTTTTCTTAATCCTTAACTTAATATTTATTGAAGTATTTACAACCCATATATGTATGTTCATCTGAACATACAGAACAACATAATTTACACTCACCGGTCACTTTATTAGGTACACATGTACAACTGCTCGTTAATACAAATTTTTTAATCAGCCAATTACAAGGCAGCAACTCAATGCATTTAGGCATGTAGACATGGTCAAGACGATCTGCTGCAGTTCAAACAAAGTATCAGAAAGGGGAAGAAAGGTGATTTAAGTGACTTTGAACATGGCATGGTTTTTGGTGCCAGGCAGGCTGCTTTGAGTATTTCAGACACTGCTGATCTTCTGGGATTTTCACGTACAACCATCTCTAGGGTTTACAGAGAGTGGTCCAAAAAAGAGAAAATCAACTCAGACTGGTTTCTTGAACATGACAATGAGTTCACTGTACGCAAAAACCTCCACAGTTTACCAGATCTCAATCCAATAGAGCACCTTTGGAATGTGGTTGAACGAGAGATTCACATCATGGATGTGGAGTCTACAAATCTGCAGAAACTGTGTGATGCTATCATGTAAATATGAATCAAAATCTCAGGAATATTTCCAGCAACTTGTTGAATCTATGGCAAAAAATTAAGACAGTTCTGAAGGCAAAAAGCAGCAAGTGGTGCTCGCTGCAGAGCCATTTGGGCGAGCTGAGCTCCAGCGAGGGGGAGCTTGAGCTTGAGCTCCACCTTTTTTGCACTTCTTCTACGAGTGATGTCACTGGGGGTAGGGTTAGGGGTGGGGTTGGTGTACGCATTAAAACAGCTTACAGGAGGAGGAGCAAGAGCTCATGCTCCCCCTCGCTGGAGCTCAGCTCTGCTCAAATGGCTCTGCAGCGAGCACCCTCTCAAAAGCAGTCCAATGCGGTCAATAGAGTCTGGCTGCAGATTTGTACTTGCACCTTCAGGCTTGCACGCTCAGGCAACCGCGCTTCCTCTGCAAGTGACGTCATTTACAATCGACACCTGTTTTTTAAATTTTATTCAGAACTGTGGAAGAATACCTTGTCCGTATATTTAGACTGATATTTAGTTGATATAACAATCAACTATGGGGTGGGTCTGTCATGGTGTACAACCTAAGTACTTATAGAATTATTTGACAATGTCATCACTGGCGATGCAAACGAACTGGAAACTTACTTTTGGTTTATTTGTGTTCATTTCAAGTGACATGACAGGAGAGTGCAGGTGTCGATTGTAAATTACGTCACTTGCATAGGAAGCCTGGGTGCCTGAGCGTGCAAGCCCGAGAGTGCAAGCCTGAAGATGCAAGTGCAAGTTCTCAGTCTGGTACTAGTCAGGTGTACCTGATAAAGTGGCCGATGAGTGTAGTTCTTCCAGTCTCTTTTTGACTGTAGTTTAGTTCTAGCTCCCCCTGGTGTGAATGAATCCAGGGCTTTACCTTAGTATTTCTCTGCAGGTGTGTGTGAACCAGTGTGTGTGAACGGAGGACGCTGCATTGGACCAGATGTTTGTGACTGTGCATCGGGCTGGAGAGGAAAGAGATGTGATAAACGTGAGTAAAAAATAAAACAACCTGAAGTAAAGATGACAGTGACCTTTTGACCCCATGACAGCAAATGACCCCAAAGGTGTGAAATAAAGAACATCTCACAACAGAGAAGAAAAGTCGATCACAACTTGCACTAAAACCGACTATGAGCATAAACCTCAAAGTTAATATGTAAAATAACAGATCCAGCTGTGTGGGAATTAAATAACAGTGTGCGTGTTTGTGTTTCTCCAGCGGTGTGTGTGCAGAAGTGTGTGAATGGTGGTGAGTGTGTGGGGCCGAACAGCTGCCTCTGCAGTCCCGGCTGGAGAGGAACAATCTGCCAGATCCGTGAGTCTTTCCCAAAAACACAGATCCTCCAAACACACATTCCATGACCAGTCCAGACCCCAAATAAAGATATACATGCATGCAATTAATAACTCAAATTATGAACAAATGGTTAAATCATTAGTGTATGCCTTTATATTATATTATATTATATTATATTATATTATATTATATTATATTATATTATATTATTTATTTATTTATTTATTTATTTATTTATTTATTTATTTATTTATTTATTTATTTATTCACTGTAAATAATTAATAATTGCATTTTTAGGATTTTAGTATTATTATTATTAATAAAACATTGTTTATAGTTTATATTTAAAGTATTACATATAAAATATATTTTACTATTTAAATTAAAACATATTTTTATATTTTTAAATGATATTCAATTTATAACTTATTTATAATTATTTATAATTATATAATGTAAATGGTTATTAAGAAAAAATATGTTGGTTTAATATTATTATTATTATTATATGGGTTGATCTATTTTAAATTGTTCATCAGTTCATGTTGAAGAAAAATGTTTATTATTGAGGTTTTAAATGTTTAATTTGTGAAATGAAATGTATATTGTCTTATTCAAAATAAATATATACTACCATTTTGTTTTTCAGAAACATTAATGAGCAGACAATGTATAATGTTGTCTTTAAAGCATGTTTTTGTTTATTTATTATTTCCATTAAAACACTAATATAATAATATTGTTATAATAAAATAATGTAATTAGTAATACTTAAATATGAATCAGTTCATCCGTTTCCATTCATTAGTGGAGTTTACAAAAAAACATTAGCAAGAATTCTTTTTGATTCGTTTTAGACTTTTTAAAATTATAATATTAATAATAATATTTATTTGTGTAAGGTGTTAAATTATTAGTGCATGCCTTTCTAAAGAAAATGATTTTGTTATATTTTTAAATAATTAATATTAATCTAATCAGTAATATTAATTAATCAGTAAAAACATTAATAATTACATTATAAAGAAAATTGTTTATTATTTTATTATTATTATTATTTAAAATATTAATAATAATAATTTATAACAATCATAAATATTAACCACAATAAGACTAACAATATAATAAATAATAAAATGAAATGTTCCTAAAGAAAAATGTTTTTAATAATAATAATAATAATAATAAAAGAATTAATAACAATCATAAATAATAATAATAATAACAACAACAAAATATTATATATGATGTTGTAAATACTTTATTAGTGATATATAGTGTATTTTGTATTTAATAATTTTATTATAATAATAATAATAATAATAATAATAATAATAATAATAATAACAATAAATAAATAAATAATAAAATGACTTTTTCCTAAAGAAAAAAGGTTTTATCAATATAATAATAACAAAATTAATAACACCAATAATAATAAAAATAATAATAATTATTATTATTATAAAGAAATAATAAAAAGTTTAAAATGTAAAAAAAGTTTTCCTAAATAAAATGTTTTATTAATAATAATAATAATAATAATAATAATAATAACAATCAAATATTTATATTAGATAATATTAGATATAATTAAATATGATGTTGTAAATTCTTAATTAGTGATATTTAATGTATTTTAAATTAATAGCTAATTTAATAATAATAAATTAATAACAATCATAAATAATGATAATAGTAATAATAATACAATAAAGCAATAATAAAATTACATGTTTTCTAAATATTTGATATATATGATTTTGTAATTATTTCAATAATGGTATATATTTTTATTTTATATTATTTTTAAATAGCAAAGTATATTGCAAAATATTCTTTACACATTATTTAGTTGCAAATTATCAGGACAATTACCATTAATAAATTCAAACTTTTTTTCTCAACTAATTTGTTTAAAGCCAAAATCAGCAATATTCATCAACAACAGCACTGAACAGCATTTGTTCATGTTTTCCTTTAACCATCAAATTAGCATATTCCATTACATCCCCCACCCCCCACAAATGTAATGTAATGTTCAATATCTGCCATCTGAAATAGACATCTATAATCTGAAAAGCTTACAAACTGTGAATAACGGTGTGATATTTGACAGCCATCTGTGAACAGCGCTGTTTGTTTGGAAGTCGATGTGTTCGACCCAACGTGTGCGCCTGCAGAAGCGGATACATGGGGACTCTCTGCTCTAGAAAAGTAAACAAACAAGTCATTACAAACACAAAGATTTCTACATTTTTTTGAATTATGCATTATCTAAAAATGCCACATCATATTTGTGTTACAGCTTGCTGTCCAGAGAGGATGAGGAGATGATGTGAGTGTCATTTCTGCACTGAGGACTATTTTTACTACTTATTTTTTTAACCTGACCGAGTTATAATATCTGTTTCAATTTGTAAATATCATATCTGAGAATATTATTTATGCATAAGGTATAATATAATGTTTTGTTCACACTTTTTTAAACATTACAGTATTTGTGAAAACGATTTTAACAATAAATGAGTGTATTTTATGAAACATTTGTAGGCTTTTTTTAACTTAAGCATTTTTGCTGATTTATCTATTTACACAAGATTAAAATGAATAATACAGAAAAGTCCGGACAGTCCGTAATTATTTTAGGTCTCTACTTAATTGATAGAGCATGATATTAAAGTTAATTAATATTCCAGAAAGGGATAAATTACTATTACAAATGTGTAATTACATGCATATGAATTACCACCAGTCGCACAAAAACTATATAGATAAATAAACTCAAAAACAATTAATATTTTGGAGGTCCTGAGGTAATAACTGTTACTTTAAATGTTTAAATCTTTTAGATCTAAACATTTATCTTGAATGTAAAAAATAAATACTTCTTGACTTTTCGGTTGATTGCAAACAAACAAAAAAATAAATAAATAAAATTAAAAAAAAATTTTGGAGCTTGAAAATCATCTGATTTATTTTTTAATAACAAATATAAATATCTAATATTATAAAATCATAATTGTTATATAAATATAATTATCAATCAATTACTGTTTATATTAACAACAAATTAAAAGAAAACAAATTATTTATATATAAACAAATAAATAAAAACACATTTCCCTCAAAAATATGCGCTAATGCTGTTTTTTAACACATACACACACACACACATACACACATATATGTTAGTGGCGGGCCGTTATCTGAGTTAACATGCTGTGTTAACGCGAGACTCTTATTGCGCAATAAAAAATATCACCGTTAATCTATTTTCAACGTTGGGTTGTAAGCTGGGTCTATTCTACACAAGCTATGATGACTTTCACCTTGATAGTTTAGCGCGGATGTATACCTGACCGGTGAGCCGTCTGACAAAAAAGTGCCCTTCTAAATCAAATCAGCAGGATGCTCGACTTTAACTGCAGTTCGACAGTTTCACTTTAACTCACGAACATTATCCCGTGACAAACTGGGGTATTGGTGTGCTTTCACACCTGTGAATCGATTAAGTTGTTCCGAAACAGAGATTACAATTGTTACATTGTTGCTCTTTGCTCTTAGAGCGGTTCGCTTTCACACTGCAAAGTTTTTTAATCGGACCAAAAGAGCTAAAACAAGTCACGTGCGAGTAAACTCTCCTCACATTGGTCAGAGTGTCAGGGTTTTTTTTGCAGCGTCCCGCTAAGCTGTCAGGAGAGGTGGTGGTTTGGTGGTGATTGACAGAGTGCACGCGCGCGACGTGTCTGAGGAGAGAAGCGGTGGGGTGGGGTGAGAAGGGTGCGCGACGATGCCTATTTGAGGACCGGGAGGGAGACGCAAGATTACCGGGAGATCATCACTCGTTTGCGGGCTTCCGGAGACTCGCGAAACTTCCCGCCCTACTCATAATTCTCTCTTCATATAGCCGTAAGCCTATTACATATCCATAAAACACTGTGATATAACCGCGCTCGGATCATATCGCTTTCTCACTGCAATCGGACCGCTCCAGGGTTCGTTTCAATCGAGCCGAGACCACCTCATTCAAGCGATCTCGGAGCGATTACTTTGGCGCGGAACAGAGCATGATTGCCCTGTTCACATATGCCAAACGAACCGCGCTAACTGGGCAAACGAGATACTTTCCGAAACAAAAGTGTAGGTGTGAAAGCACCCTTAGATGCAAATAAGAAGTAAGGACTGGTGAGAGTGTTATAGAAAAGGAAAAAAAACGTCCATGTTTCGCGTGTTTTTGTGTACGTGTGTGTGTGTGTGCAGTCCATTACTGACTGCTGCGTGTGTGGATCTTGTCGGAAAATATGCCACAAAGTCCTACATGAAATTATACGAGGCTTTGACCCTATTATATATTATATTAAATATATTAGTGCATACAATACAATACAAAAAATTCAATGTTAACTATGACTTCTTTTCTCAAAATTAAGAGTTTTACACGCAGTTTACATATTACAAATCACACCATTAAACTTGCAGTATTATTGTGTGAATAAGTGAAAAGGTTTTAGATATTGAGATTTAAGCATCATTCTATTGATGTATGGTTTGTTAGAATAGCACAATATTTGTCTGACATACAACAATTAGAAGAGATGACGGTTCAAAAAAATATTTGTCTAAGGGTGCTCTCATGACTGTAGATCATTTGTTTTGTTTCATCAAGTGGTCTCAAACCTTTCTGAGTTTCTGAACATAAAAGAAGATATTCGCCATTGACTTCCATTGTATTTTTTTTTCTTACTATGGAAGTCAATGGCTCCAATGTTTAACATTATTCAAAATATCTGCTTATAAAAAGATGCAAACAGGTTTGTAACTAGAGAGGAGTGAAATAATAAGTATTTTTTATAAAAACAATTTGTGAACAGTCCCTTTAAGTTAGATAGAAAAATGATCTCTCTTGTTATTCCAGCCAGGCAACAGACAGTTTAGCATCCTCGGCCATCCTTCCTCCAAACTACGTGGCCTGAAACTCCATTACACTCTATTTCTCCGAGGACGTTCCCTTTAATGTGACTGGAATGTTAAAAAAAACACGCAAACATGCTGTTTGTGTCACGGCCGACGGAGCGTGCAGTGGCTGCAGATTTTATTTTGCACCGCCGATCGCCTGGCAAACATATAAACAGACAACACAAACAAGCATAGGAACTAATTAACGGCCATTGATGGCGGCCATTAATGAGTCGGTGGCAGATATAGTTCCTCTCATGCATAGCTAATAATCCAGCTGTTGGTGTACGATTACCTGAGGTGCAGAAAAAAATAGAGAGAAAAGGACAGCAAATATTAAACGGCTCGCAGAGAAAGATAAACTGTACCAGCGTCAGTTTGAAAAGGTTATGAGGGGACTAAGGAGTGTTTGATTTATTGATTAAGAACAAATATCAAATATACACACATAATTTGTTCAAAAAAAATATGGAAGTTTGTTTCTGTCACACACAGGAAAAAAAATGCAGTTAAAATCAGAATTTTTAAACCCACTTTTTTCTTTTTTAAATATTTCCCAAATTATGTTTTACAGAGCAAGGAAATTTTCACAGTATGTCTGATATTTTTTTTCTTCTGGAGAAAGTCTTTTTTATTTATTTCAGCTAGAATAAAAGCAGTTTTGAATTTTTTTAAAAACCATTTTAAGGTCAGTTATTAGCCATTTTAAGCTATATATTTTTTTCGATAGTCTACAGAACAAACCATCATTATACAATAACTTTTCTACCCTAACCTGCAGAGTTAACTTAATTAACTTAGTTAAGCCTTTAAATGTCACTTTCAGCTGTATAGAATTGTCTTGAAAAATATCTAGTCAAATGTTATTTACTGTCATCATGGCAAAAATAAAATAATTCAGTTATTAGAAATAAGTTATTAAAACTATTATGTTTAGAAATGTGTTGAAAAAAACTGCTCTCCGTTAAACAGAAATTGGGGAAAAAAAATAAATGGGGCTAATAATTTAAGGGGGGCTAATAATTGTGCAATGTACAAAACTGTACAATGTTAACCATGGCTTCTTTTCTCAAAATTAAGACTTTTACTTGCAGATTTCAAATCACGACATATAAACTCGCAACAATATTGTGTAGATTTAAACATCATAGGAAAGCTGATTAAATAATATTTCCATTGATGTATGGTTTGTTCCAATAGCATTCTATTTTTTTGAGATAGAACATTTTGAAAAGATGAGGGTTCAAAAAAATCTATATTTTTCTAAGGGTGCTTGCACGCCGGTTTTGTTCCGAAACATGGTTTACAGTAAATACAGACGAGCAATTTAAATTGCAGATCATTTCTAGATTTTTTTTCTCCAAACAACTAAAACAAAGAACCAAACAAAATGCACTGTATGTAATTTAGAAGTTAGACCATTTTTACACGGTTTTTCAAACAAGTAAGCTAAATTGAATTAAAATAAACTAACTAAGGGTGCTTTCACACCTGTAGATTGATTGTTTTGTTCTGAAACAGGGATTAAAATTGTTACAATGTTGCTCTTTGCTCTTGGTGCAGTTGGCTTTCACACTGCAAAGTTTCTAAACGAACCAAAATAGCTAAAACTAGTCAAATGCGAGTAAACTCTCCTCATATTGGTCAAAGTTTCATGCTTTATTTTTCAGATTAAAAAGTCAATGTTTAAAAGCACCCTAGATTAAGACCTTAGCAATGCACATCATTAATCAAAAATTGAGTTTTTATATATTTACTATTAAATATGGTCTAAATATATTCATGTAACATAATCTATACTTAATATTCTAATGATTTTGGTATAAGAAAAACATTTTGACCCATTTCGATTGAGTGCCGTTAATATTCATTGCCAAAAATATTCAAATTTTGTTTTGTTTTTTAGGTCCAGGGTCACTTTTTTCAGTTTGCAACTATTTCTTTGTGTTCTTTGTTTTTGAATGTTTTCATTTTGAAATTATTTATTAATTTTATTTTCCTTAAAATCAGATTTTCTTGGAATTGAAATTGTATCAATTTTCTCAAAATTACTATTTTATTTCTTGAAATTTTGACATTATTTCAGTCACTTTTAAGCTTATATCTTACAAATTAGATTTTTTTATATAACCTCAAAGCTGCAACCTTCAACTAAGCTTAAAGAAAACGTATTGGAAAATAGCCATTGAATTAGATTAGCTCATTAACATCTTGCTAAAGAAAATCAATTAAAATAAAGTGTTTTCATAATTTTTCTATTTAAAGCTCGACACTTTTGTAGTTACACTATGTACTAAGACACAAACACCTTTTTCTTCTTCTTTTTTTTTTTGGAGAAAGATGCTAATAATCTTATCCAGTTTAATGATTTATGCTAAGCTAAGCTAAATGTGCTCCTCCCAGACCCAGAGGCCTGTATGGATTAAAAAATGGCAAAACTCAACTGTTTAACTCGATGGAAATTGTAAAACTAGGCCATTTACAAAAAAAAATTAAGAAAAAGATTTGAACTGTGAAATATAGATTAGCAATTGTGAGAGGGAAAAGAAAGATTAAAAAGATTTTAATAGCCTACATTTTTATTACTAT